GGTGGCGCCCCTAGCGGAAACGCCAAAAACTAAGCCAAATAGTTTCCATCAGATGTCATTTCGGCGAGCTGTCCAGCAGGCTAAAGCCGGCAAACACTCACGCTTTCTCTTTGCTTCAAAACAAACCAAATCTTTGATTCAGATTTAGAAACTGCTCCGTTTGTCTGTCTTAGCTGCTGCTCCATCCCGAGACAAACTCCAAAGACATGGACACTTCCGAGGAGCAGATCAAGCAGTACGAGCTGGAGCGCAGCGAGAAGGTGGCGCAGCGCGTGGAGGAGATGGCCGCCCGCCTGCGCGCCCACTACGACGGCCTGCTGGAGAAGATGGAGGGCGAGATGCGCCTGATACACAACAACTTCCTCCTCCACAAGCTGCAGTCGCAGCGGCAGTACGAGGAGGAGTACGCCAGCCTGGTCCAGGAGATGATGGCCATGGGGGAGGAGGCCCAGGAGGACCAGGAGGAAAGTGGTGATGGTCAAAGAACAACAGCAACAACAAACGAAACAGCAGCTCATCCCGCCGTCGCCGCCGCCGCCTCTTCAAACAGCAAGTCCAAGAAACTTCAAGAGAAGCAGAAGCTGCTCGAGCGGCAGCGGGAGCTTCGTCAGCAGCAGCAGACCGAGTACCGGCAGGTGGTGACCCGGTCGAAGGAGGCCATCGGCCGCATACTGGCCGACATCGAGGCTCGCCTGCAGGTTGAAGAGCAGAAGCTTCAACAGCAGCATCAACAGCCGAAACCACTTCTTCAGCAGCTTCCGGACGCCTCGGCGGTGGAGCAGCTCGCCCACTGTCGAACCTTCCTCTTGGGCGCCATCTCCGAGCTGGCGGTAATGCTGCTCACCACCGCGCCCAGCTCTCAACCTGCTAGTGGAGGTGGAACTCAGCCTCAGCCAGAGCTGACCATCGAGCACCTGAAGCTGGCCGCGGAGAAGCAGCAGCAGGCGATCGTCGCCGGCCAGCGCTACCACGCCCTGCTCACGCAGCAGCTGGCCAAGCTGGCGAAGTCGAAGCAGAAGTCGGCGGAGGTGGTGCAGCTGCAAAACGGAGGGGGAGGCAACCACGTTACAAGGCCACAGCAACAGCAACAGCCATCTCAATCTTCGACTGTGATTCAAAGTGCTTCTGAAGGAGCGGCAGCAGCAGCAAGAAAAGCCCAACAACCCAGCTCATCCACTCAGGCACAAACTCCTCGACCCGCCGCCTCTTCCTCAACTCCATCTTCCTCTCAGCAACCTCAACAACCCTCCTCTACTGCCAAAACCTCCAAAAACGTCGCAAACTCCAACTCCAGCTCTGCTCCGAAGGAGTTCAGCCAGCCGGCAGAGCTGCTCTACGAGCGCAGCCAGCTGGAGCTGGTGCGCTTTGAGGCGGTGGTCGACCGTTTCATCGCCGCCGAGGAGAACAAAAAGCGACGCACCGGTCTGCAGCTGTCCATTCGAACGCGCATCAACACAATGTGCAACGAGGCGGTGGGCAAGCTGGCGGAGAAGACGCGAAAGCTGCTCGACCTGCTCTCCGGCAAGCGGGTGGAGATGACGGCCAGCAAGGGCGACCTGGTGCAGTGCTCGGCCGCTGATGGCTCCCTGCACTTTGCCATCAACACGGCGGTCATGGCCTTTCTGGTAAGTGGGGAGGATGAGAAGAGAAGGCGTTTTTGTACCAATTTCTAATTTCTAATTTCTAATTTTCACCACTACCCCCTCTAGAACGTCGCCATCAAGCAGAAGCACATGGCCCTCCGCCTGGCGCCCGTGGTGAGCGTCCTCTGGGCCCGAGTGGACCCCATCTTCGGCCGGGTCTTCCTCGCCCACCTCTACCGCATCTGCCCCTACGCCCTCCCGTATTACCCCGTTCAAGAGGAGGGCCAGTCGGCGGAGGAGTTCATGGTCCGCTGCGGCTACCAGCTGAACGCCCAGAGCGGCGCCATCAGCGAGACGGACGAGGCCTTCCAGGAGCGGGTGTACTCGCTGGTGCAGCTCTACGCCGCCGTCCTCCAGTGCAACGTCACCGAGGCCAATGGCGGCGGCGGTGGCGGCNTCTTCCTCGCCCACCTCTACCGCATCTGCCCCTACGCCCTGCCCTACTACCCCGTTCAAGAGGAGGGCCAGTCGGCGGAGGAGTTCATGGTCCGCTGCGGCTACCAGCTGAACGCACAGAGCGGCGCCATCAGCGAGACGGACGAGGCCTTCCAGGAGCGGGTGTACTCGCTGGTGCAGCTCTACGCCGCCGTCCTCCAGTGCAACGTCACCGAGGCCAATGGCGGCGGCGGTGGCGGCGGGGGCGGTGGAAATAGCACCCACCCGCGCGACCTGCAGTACGCCTGGCACTGGCTGGCGCGAGTGCTAAACGAACCGCCGCAGCCGGTCATGACCGCCCTCATGTTGGACGCCTTTCTCACCGTCACCGCCCACAAACTGCTCGCCGCCTACGGGCGGCAGTTTGAGAAAATGCTGCGGGCGATTCGCCGCTCCACCGTGCCGGCCATGGAGACCGTCACGCCCAAGGGCGACCAGCAGACGCTGATGAAGTTCAAGTCGCTGCTGGAGGGCTTTGAGCGGAAGGTGGCCAGGCGAGGTGGTGGAAATCGCCACCACCAGCAGATCGCCCGCTCCCTCCTGCCTGAGGACATGGAGCTGGTGCCGGACGCCTTCTTTCGCATCTAGCAAGGGCAAAAAATTCTCTCTCTCTCTCTCCCATTTACTTTCATTCTCATGATCCGACTGTGTTATACACACCACGACCACCACCTCCTTTTGTTTCGATTTGTTATGCTGTGTGAGCGTATGCACTCCTTTACAAGTACTCTACTCCTCCTCCTCCTCCTTTTTTCTCATAGTAGCATGCTGTGATCAAATATAAANTTGGTGCCGGACGCCTTCTTTCGCATCTAACAAGGACAAGAAATTCTCTCTCTCTCTCTCTCTCTCTCTCATTTATTTTCATTCTCATGATCCGACTGTGTTATATACACCACTACCACCACCACCACCTCCTTTTGTTTCGATTTGTTATGCTGTGTGAGCGTAAGCACTCCTTTACAAGCACTCTACTCCTCCTCCTCCTTTTTTCTCATAGTAGCATGCTGTGATCAAATATAAAAAACAAACTATTCTACTACTACACACCAGAGAACTGAGACCGATTGAGAGTGTCTTTGGCCAAGCCAGCCAGCACTTCATCACTCAACAAAGACAAAAGAAGTAGAAGGAAAAAATGACGAACCTGTTCTCCTTTTGTGTCCTTTTCTTTAGGTCAACGCTGATTGTTGTGTTTTACCGCTCTTTTTCCTCCTCCTTCTCCTGCTGCTGTGAAATCGATGCCGGCAACTGCTCTTCTTCACTTCCAAGATCAAGACTCTCTCAACTCAAGTTATTCTCTTTCGGTTCCATTCCATTCTTCTTCATTCATTTCACCGACAGTTGACCGACATGCGACTCTATGCGGTCATGCTTCAGCTGACTTGATCTTCTTCTTCTTGATGACACTTTCCAACAGCAGCAGCAGCAGTACCACTAAAGAGTTCACTCAGTCGAATCGAGGAGCGTCGTCGCCAGAGATTCAGCAGACTCCTTCTTCTCCTGCTTCTTCGCTAGAGAAAAGTGATCTGCTGGAATAGAGAAAAAAGTTTGTCAGTGATATCAGTCAATTAGTCTGCGGTCTAGAACAGTCGCTAGTTGTTAGTGTCTTTCTTTTTCTCGCTCTCTCCTTTGCATTAGTCCATTAGCAGCCGCGGAGGCAACCACAAGTGCAAATTTCGCAAATTATCGTCGCCAGTTTTTTTTCTCTTCAAGGCTCACTGACAGCGTGAGTGTGTGTGACACCACCACCAATATCACCGTCGCCTGCAGCTAACCGCAAGTACAGAGGTGACGAAAATGTAACCAATTTGCTCACTCTTGTTTTCAAAAAGGACAAAAACAAAAGACTGCAACAAAAGAACAGAACAGTGCTCAATTTTGTGGCGCAAAAACAAGTCAAGTGCAGCAGCAGCACAAGACCACAGCGATCTAGAGCAAATTTATTTGCAATCTGAAGGCGTCCAGGTGAGGACGACGACCACTGCTAAGCATAATGTCGTCCAGTTATCACCACCACCATCATCATCACCATCATCACCTCATTCATCTTCATCTACTCTTCTTCTTCTTCTACCTGTCACTTCCCCTTCAGCTCCAGTTCACCATCACCTCAGCTTCAAACTCCACTTCCATCACCACCAGTGGCTCACAAGTGCTCTACTACACACCGCCCAATGAGACGCTGAGCACCTCCTCCAGCGATGAGAAGGTCGATCACCCGCCGGTGGTGTACTTCACCGGACCGACCACCACCACCACAAACTCCATAAACTCCAGTTTGGTTGAATATGAGCGACCTCCACTGCAGCCCTCCACTGTTCAGTATGACGATGATTCAGCAGAGGTCATTTCACCGACTTCATCACCCCAAGATCGATCCAGTGAGCAGCAGCAGCAGCAGCTGATGCAACTGCTGTTGGTCAATGGACGACAGCAGCAGCTGAATAACAATAATCAGTGGAGTCCACTGGTGCAACCAGTGGGAACGAATAGAAAAAAGGTTAAAGTTATCAATTCTTCAAAAAAGAAACCGGTAGTACTGATTGCCCAGTCGATTGCTGATGAGGAGGAGATCAATGGAGGAGGAGGTGATGAGGGTGACGTTGAGGAGGTGGAGGAAGTGGTTCAGCAGCAGCAAAAATCCTCCTCCTCTTCATCATCGTCAGCCGCCAGCCGACCGACCACTCGATACGTCGTCCTCGAAGGCGGCGGCGGCGGCGGAAGCGGCAATGCAGGCAGTCCAATAATCATACAATCATCAGGCTCTAATGGTCACCACCACCACAACAACAATCAAATTATCGAAGAGGAGGTAATCGATGAAGGAGGAGAAAATGGTCAACATCAGCAACATCAGCAACAACATCAGCAGCAACAACAGCAGGACATCAACAAGGACGCCCGCCTCTACGAC